CAGGTTTAGGCTTTCAGGGGTTTAGGATATAGGGTTCTTGGGTTTTAGGGTAGGGCTTAGGGTTTGGGTTTCCAGGGGCACGGAATTCAAGTAGATTTTTATTCTGCTGGCAGAGCACCAGCAAGGTGAAGGCCGGGCGAATACGAGAGATCGGCATCTCGAACTGCAATGCGCCTGGGTTGCTGTTACGAGCCTAGGTTTAGGGTATTGGGCATAAGGTTGCAAGGAAACCCTATTATCTACTCTATACCCATATTATTATGGTATTTTAGCTTAAGTCCTTTAACAGCAGACCAGGCGCAGCAAGTCCGACGGGCGTGCGCGGAAGCCAAGAAGCACGGCCTTGGAATTGCCGCGAACCAAATTATGTTTAATCTTCTTTGCTTCCAATCACCTGAGTTGCAGGCTACTGTGCAAGCCTGCAGAGAGAACAATGTGAAAATCATCGCTTATGCCCCCATAGGCCAGGGCCTTCTGACGCAAGCCCTGACGGACGAGAAGTTTTCAAAAATCCGCCTGGCAAAGATGACTCGGCTGGGTATCGATGAGCTTCAGGAGCTGCGTGCAGCCATTGAACGCGTCTTGGCGGGACTTTAGTTCAACTTTAGAACCTCACACGTTCTGTGGTTTTTCTATGTCATAGTAACCGAGCTACAAATTTGAATTTGATTGGGGGATTAACCCCTAGACCCTTGAAAAAGCATTTAGAAAGCAGCCAAGGACTGGCGGAGAAGTATGGCAAGACAATGGCCCAGGTCTGCCTAAACTGGACTATCTGCCATGATGCACTTCCCTTGGTGGCGCAGCTGTTTATCAAGCAACCCTTTAACCGTTTCATGCCACCAAGACGAACCAGTGTACACATAAAAGAGGAGTTGTATCTAATGTGTTGGTATCTTTTACCCTCAGAACCCTAATCCATTAGCTTATTTAAGTAGGGCAAGTACAAAATCCTAGTGTAAACCAAAAGGCTAAGCTTCGGATGCTTGACATTGAAGGTCTTTATACCTTAGAGCCCAAAATCCCCGGTTGTATCGTATATACATATACTTAAACATGTCCATACGCACATATCATATACCTAAACCCTAAACCTTAAATCCATACACACATAACACACACATAAATGAATATGTAGACATATGCATGTATCCTAGAACCCTAGTAGAGAATACTGGACACCTGATTAATGGGTTGCTGTTCAGGAACTTATATTAAGCAACTGGATGAGGCAACCCTATTACTTACCAAATGCCCAGATTATGTTAATTTAAACCCTTAAAACCCTGGAACCCTGAAACCTCGAAAACCTAAAACTTAAACCCAAAGTACTTTGATGTAGGCCCCTAATTAATAAACCCTGTCTTTTTAAGAGGCTTAAGACCAGGATCCCAATTATAATCTCCATTAAGGGGAAGGGATTTAATAATTAGAGGTCTACATCAAAGCCTAAACCCTAAACAGTAGTTTCCATTTTCTTTTCCATTATCCCTATATAACCCCTATATTACCCCCATATCCCCTATAAAGCCTTAAAGCCTAAGTACCTTAACAGCAACCCAGCTCAAGGTCGGGACCCGAAGCCTCCAGCAGGCGCACGATACAGCAGGCTGCCTCGGCTGGCGTTTGTCCAAAGACGATGCTTACCTGTGAGGTTTTGGGGGTTTAGGTTTAGGGTCTAGGGTCTAGGGTCTAGGGTTTAGGGTCAGGGTTTAGGGTATTTCAAAGTTTTGTGTGTTTATATATCAATAATTCATGGAACCAGCCACGGCAACACATGGATGAGGAACA